CCTTAGACTCACCACTTGACCACTTGCCAACCTTCTAGAAGGACTACAGCTAGGCCTCTGGACTCTACTTGGACTCCTACCTTACAGGTCTACAGTTCGAATCTCCCTACAGCCTACAACCTACGGCGACCTACTTACCACTTACTATCGTGCAGGTCACGGGTTCAACTCCAGGGAACTGTGCAGATACTGTACACAGGTAAGCTGAGGTCAAGGGATCGACCCCTGGGATCTGCATCGGCTACTGCCAAAGGTGAAAACTGTTTCACTACAGCCTATATAATATATATAGCAAGCATGTGGTGTGGCTGTGCAATTAGAAGGGCAACTCACCTTCTCAGATATGTTCTTTGGACGGGGGAACACTCCCCACGTGGAGACCTTGGGCTTATAAAGCCCGTCATCTTGGATAGAATCCTCTGATGCCCTGTCATTGGCAATCGCTGCGTCTCTGGTGATAATCTCGACCTGCGGGAGCACGCTTGGTGGCGACATGTTGAAGCTGTCCACAGCCCGTCCTTGCTGCAAATACCCTCCAGAATTTGATCGGCTGCGATTTTGATCCACAAACCCCTCAAACGCTGAGGGAGCAGAAGAAGGTAGTCGGTACCCACCAGACTGAGGGGTTTCCGGCTTTGGCGCTGGCTTTGCCGCCGACCGTGCCTTGTTACCATTGTTTGGGCTTTTGTAGGAGGCTGATTTCTTTGAAAAGACTGGCCGCCTAATGCCGTCCCGTGTGATTATCTCAACCTCCGGTAACTTGACACCATATTCGTCAACTTGCGGCAATCTCTTGTCTTCTTCCCCTAGGCTCTCTAGTTCTGCTTGCTGCCCCCTTGCCTGCTCACCAGCCTCATCGTTCATGGGACCTGGTGTTGACTGTGGCGAATATACGGGGTCAGCTTCCGTACCTCGGAGTTGGGATCTCCCCTCTGTCCTCTGTGAATCAGTCTTCGATTCTTTGGTTCCTGTTCGTGTTCCCTGACTGCTCCGCTCCTTAAGGTACGCTGCTGCCTTGGCAAGGGAAAGCTTTGCTCCTGCACGTTTCGCCTCAGTAGCAGAGCTAGCAAGAGTGGCATCAGCAGCAGCAGGCGCCTGACCTGAAGATGGTTCATCAACCACCTCTGAGTTCTGCATTGTGCTTGAGGGAACTGGTGATATCTCTAGCCCTGGCAGTTGCTCCCTCTGCTGCCCATCGCCATCATCGCCTGGCGAAACTCGTGTTAGCCGAGGAGAGGTGGTCACATCACTTTGCGGCGGCTTTGACTTGTCTTCTGAACTTGGAGGAGCATCAGGCAATGTTCGCGCCCCTGTTCCCAACGCTTTTGCCGACCCTGCTCCCAAGTCTGTTCCTGACTCCGTTCTCGATTGTGTTCTGAATCCCATCACCGGCGTTGCTTTGACTGTCCTCCTAGAGCCCAGTGGCTGTCCTGTCTGTCCGGTATTCTTGTATGATCGAGCCCTTTCCATTGCTGCCTTCACTCTGTCCTTCGGCGCAGCACCTGCCTCAGTTGTGGGCAGGCTTGAACCCACCCCTTTCCCATCCGATTCCAGACCATCAGCTTGACCGGCCTCATTTTCTCTCAACCTATTGGATGATGCCTCTGGCAATACCATGGACTGGCCACTCAATTCCACTGCAGCCTCACTCACAGACGATGACATAAAAGGCTGCGAAGCAGAGTCTGTTGATGCTGCTGCTAGTCTATCCGCCGACGTAGAAATGGAAGATGAGAGTCGCACTGTTCGGAAAGTACTATCAAATGACTTCGGGAGTTGTTCGGTCCCAGGATCAGAAGATTCAGAACTGTCAAACTGAGCATGACCGTACGCACCAGCCTTGTTGGAAAGATTCTTGCTGCTCGCAACAGTGCTTGTAGTTCCGTCACTCGAAGAAGAACAAACATCTGATTCACCTTCACTTTCCAAGAGCCCGCCATCACCACCTTTAGATGCTTGTGCTTGAAGCAAGCGGCATCGGTGTGCAGTGCGAACTGGAGTTGCTGCTAAGGAGCGAACCGTCACCGACACTCCATGTCGGTTATGGGTATGACAGGTGGACAGCACACGTGGATGCCACAAAGGAGAAACAGGACCGGAAAGGAGTCGGTGAGGTCGGGACCTAGGAAGGATGGAGTGGGATGATAAACATTCATGGCTCACAGATGCCAGAGTAGCAGAGGAACACGCAGCAGCCTGCTGAGGCAGCATCTTGAGATTTCTTGCAACGCCCCTCTCCTTGTAGGAAGCAGAAGCTGTTTTTTTTTTTTTTTTTTTTTTTTTTTTAATATCGTAGTGGCCCAATGGACAACAGATCAGATATTAAACTGATCAGAACAGATACTACACTTGATCTTAGCCAAAAGGCCGAGAAATATAATGCCCAGGAGCTGTGTTTGGGTGAAGAAGGTAGCACAGAAATCTTCCCCAGTAACGTTGCCGATGTCTACAAGCCAGAAAGCAATGCTAGCGTAGAAATATGCCCCAGTAACGTGGCATGCGCATGCAGACCAGAAAAGGCACTGCTACGCTGCAAGTATGGAAATATCTGTCCCCAGTAATGTGGCCCCCGAGTGCCTACAGGCCACAAAACACTGCCAGCATTGACAGCTGCCCCAGTGACCGTGTGGCTGCTCTTCCCATTGGAAGAAGTGGTGTATGGTCCAACCCCTTTGATGACCATAGAAAGACGGTGACCTGTTGATGATGACCGTCTTCACTCTCTCTCTCTCTCTCTCTCTCTCTCTCTCTCTCTCTCTCTCTCTCTCTCTCTCTCTCTCTCTCTCTCTCTCTNTCTCTCTCTCTCTCTCTCTCTCTCTCTCTCTCTCTCTCTCTCTCTCTCTCTCTCTCAGTCTAGCTGCAGCAGCTGGAGATACAACATACTAACGAGACAAATTGGGAATAGCCATCCTTATGAGACAAAAATTGGGGTAGCCATGGGGCATGAGATTGACACCACTCTCTCAGAAGGAATAACAGCTATCTCCCAACCACAGCTAGAAGTTAGTGCAGTACCTTCTGTCGTAACTGCAGACGGTACTGCAACTACTGCAGTTACTCACAACTACTGCAGTTACTTAACTCCTACTGTGACTTCTGCAGTTACTGTACGGTTACTGCAGAATCTCAGAAAGAGAGAACAACAATTTCCCAACCCGAGCTAGAAGTTAGTGCAAGTAACTTCTGTCATAACTGCAGAAGCTACTGCAGCTACCGCAGTTAACTCCTACAGTGACTTCTGCAGTTACTGTAGAAGTCCTAGTGTAGCTACTGCAGAAAGCGAGAACAGCAATTTCCCAACCAGAGCTAATGCAGTAACTTAACTCCTACAGTGACTTCTGCAGCAACTGCAGTTACTGCTGAAGTTAAGGCAACAGCAGAAGTTCCTGCAGCAGCATAAGTTATGGGAGCAGGAGAATGTACAGCAACTCAGTCCATCACCGGACTGACCATGGACGGACAGGCTGCAGTTGTTACTGCAGTTGGTGGCTGCGACAGATGTCAATCAATTTGCCGAACGCAAAAACAAAAAAAGAAGGATCATATGGTTTGCTGTTTGCAGCAACAGGATATAGCCCCAGCCACAGCAGAAACTCTGAGACAGACAGAGGTCTTTGCCCCCCAAAGATCCATATGTAATATTTGTTGTTATCCGGAGGAACTCAATTCAGCCTAAAGATCTTTGGAAATTACTGCACAATACGTCCCCACTTGCAGCAGATTTCGGGGGCCGAGATCCCACGAGCAATGACCCTCCGACCTTAATTTATCTATGGTCAGATCTCGTCTCTCTTACGTTCTTAGTTCGTGCTCCTGGGACGATTGGTTCCGTTGCCAACTAAATTAGGCCCCGGCACACATCCTTTGAGGCTTTGCCCCAATACGCAATACATCTGATATCCAACGGGATAAAATATTAGGAAACGTTTTCATCCAGTCTTTTCGCAAATGGGCGTCAAAGTTCGAACTCTTACCCTCTCGTATCCAGATCCAGTCTTCTCCAGTCTTAGGTCATACTCGCACTTTTCTAAATGTATCTGACTGATTCTGACAGCAATTACGCTCAGACCTGGATGAATCTGAGTGCCATCACATCAAGAGCTGAGTCCACAAAGTCCTCATGTGAGTATATACCCTTATTCAATCCAATCCGACCCAGTCGTATCTAGTCCAGAATCTGACAAAGAATGTTCCCGATATCCTCAGAATACTTTCAGGGTCCGATGCCTCCGTTCCATCACTCTCATCTACTCAAGCCTCTGACCAAAAATGTACCTTCCATCCACAGAAGAGATCCAGGGATTGATCCCTCAACCCAAAGACGACCTGCAGAGCACAAGATACCCACACAGAAACGCACCATGGTGCTCAGTCATTACTACTGCTATGAAAAAAATCTTCTGAAAAAGGTAAGAGGCTAAAGGGGTAGGTTGTCTGGGCTCCCGGGGGCTGAACCTGCATCAGAACAGTGTTCTTTTTTTATATACGTCAAGGAAAACAGCCCTCTTGTGTCTGTTGATCCTGAAACTCGACCTGTAGGAATCCACCCAGCTGTGCACACGCCGAAGTGCATGATCTGCACGTAAATGCAAGAATGTCCAGGTGCATGATCTGCACCTGGCCGTGCAGGCGGCCAGGTGCATAATCTGCACCTACACTCAGGAGTTCGCATGGCATCCTCAAGATACAACATTCCTGCATCTAGCCTGTCATGGTTTACGGGGAAAGGTCAGTCAAGAAGTCCTAATGTGCGTACAGCCTAACTGTCATAATACCAGGGACTATGGATCGAAGGTGAGGGGTGGAAAAAAGCGGAAAAAAAAAGAAGAGGTGAAGACTTTGGATCCACCAGTTCCTCTTCAGTCGAATATATATATAATGACAGGGGTTAGTGACCGTTAGTCCCCCGAGCCTTTTTTGAGTGGGAAACAAAGGGGGACGGGAGACGGGGAAAGGAGGAAAAGGGGGGGGGGGAAAGGGCGCCAGGGGGGGGGGGGGGGGRGAGGGGGKGTGCGGTGAAGAGGCAGTAAAAAAAGGGTCATCTGACAGTGTCTCTATTGGTAACCATTCAGTGTCAGAGTCATTTCGATCAAAAAGAAAACAATGATGACAACAAAGAGACACAGAACATGAACTCTTGCTGAGAAGAAGTTATCTCCAGGGAGTGCCATGGGCCAGTAGAGAGCTTGAACCTCTGAGGGAAAGGCCATCCTAATCATCATAAACCTGGCCGTATCAATGGACCAGGTTTGTGCTCGCGTAGGGCCTGGTTACACTACTTGCCATCCGCCAAACTCCGTGGCGAGTAGTGCCCACCGAAAAGAAGCACTTTTTTGTGCCAATCTCGCAGATGGTCACACACACTCATCACTGCTGCCATCAGACTCGCTATCTTTCACACTTCACATGCATGCAAACAGGATGCGCAGCAAACTCACAAGTGGTTAACGGGGACCCCCACTTTACCGCCCTGGGTAACGATGAATGATCCTGAAATTAGGGTTTCGGGGTCAAATTTTGTGTTTTTTTGGAATGTTTTTTTTGCCTGTTTTTGTTTTAGGACAAGCTTGCTGTGTCTCAAATTTGGTGTCATTTGGGTTATTAGAATTTGTGCTGTTAATCATCCTGAAAATCCTGAAATTTTGATGAAGTTGTTTTTTGGAAAAATTGCCTGAAAATGCACTTTTGAGTTGCTGTTTTATGTGTTTTTAATTTTTTTTTTTTGTATTGTTTTTATAATATGTTAGAAAGAAGTGCACTCTATAGATTGGTGTGAAGTTTGCTTGAACCCTAAACCCTAAACCCTAAACCCTGAACCCTAAACCCTAAACCCTGAACCCTAAACCCTAAACCCTAAACCCTGAACCCTAAACCCTGAACCCTAAACCCTAAACCCTCAACCCTGAACCCTAAACCCTAAACCCTAAACTAAGAGATATGGTAACCAAAAACGCAGCTCAGATACAAGTTCACTTCAGATGGCTATGGTGGCACAAAGCCTGTACAACTCTCTGTTCGCACACTCGGGATCACCCGGGATATCCCACACGCGACACTCTGTACACACATACACACACACACACACACACTCGCACACTTCTACAGCTATGGCGGCYATGGCCGCTGCTACCCTATCGCTATGGCTAACTCTCCTTCTCGCCCACTTCGTCTTCGGGCTCACTGCAGACCACCTCACACAAGTCGCTGTGGCAGCGCTTCCACATGGCTTACGCAGGAATGAATGAATGGCTGGGTGCTGCCTCTTGATTTATACTTCTGTATCTCGTTGGTCTGCCCCTTTCCCATGCCCGTGGTGCACACAGTCCCATGCGGTACTTGCTTGACTGGACTAGGACTGACTGGGACCAGGACTGCTGACTCAGCACGGGTAGACTCCACCACTTGCCCACTTGCCTCAGCCTAAACGTGAGCAACTTCGAAAGGCCGCTACTAGGACCTTCCGGAAGGCCGTGGACTTGGCCTTTCGCTATTGTAGCAGCTACGACCTTGACACTTCAGGACTGCAGCAGCTACGACTTCTAAGCCTTGCTAAGACTCCTACCCGACAGGTCTACAGATCGAACCCCTACTACCTACGGACCCTACGACAGGTGAATACCGTTTCACTCCCGCCGGCCTAAATTCGAGGTCCTCCGAGAATAACTCAGTCCAAGGCAGGACCTTTACCTTTCTTATCTCTCTCGTAGGCTCTAACTATGTCGGGAGCTTTTTCTAGAAGTTCTGCTCTGGTAAACCAGCGGTCGTCCTCCGGTTCCTGATAAGCAAACCGGACCTTATACTGCTTTTGTGGACGGCCTCTACCTCCTGCTCTGAACACGTCTTCACGTACAATGCCGTCAATGTCGTACCTTCCGTCCATGTCTGGAGGAATCATGGACCTCCTAGATGGAAACTGTTGACTTGTGACACACGGCAACAACTTTGAGGCATGGAACACAGGGCAGGTGAGGAGGTGTGCTGGGATCTCTACTGTGTAGGACGGCCCATCCTCTCCGCCCTTAACTTCTAGAACTGGCCATGGTCCTCTATACGCGGGCAGCAACTTCTGCGAGATGTTTTCCTCAGGAGCAAACTCTTTGGACTTGACCCAGACTAAGTCGCCTACTTGGAACTGCGATGGGCGACGGTGCTTATTGGCTTGTTCTATCATCCTATAGCTAGCTCTCTCTCATGCTGTATCGCAAACTCCCTGGTGCCGGGCGGTAGCCTGTGAATCTGATCCCAGTTAAGTCCCTCAAACGGTCTGCGTGGCCTAAAGGACTTGTGCAACTCATTGGGGGTGCGACAGGTGGACAAGTGCACGCTGTTGTTATACGCACTGGCTACCTTGGGCAACATCTCGTCCCAATTGACTTGATCTGGTCTAATGTACATGCGTAGAACTTGCTGCAGGATCTTGTTCATCTGCTCAGTCTGACCATTAGTCTCTGGATGGCGGCCAGATGACATCAACAACTTTGACCCATAGACTCTCATCAGTTCCTGCCAGTTCTGACTCGTGAAGTGAGTGTCTCTATCACTAACAATAGACAATGGGACGCCATGCTCACTAACCCAAAAATAAAAAAACTTCTGAATTACTAACTCAGTACATGCCTCTGCAGGCAAAGGAAAAAAAACAGCATATTTACTAAATCTATCAACTATGACCATGACTTGGCTCTTGCCGTGTCTACTCTTGACACCGACGTCCATGAAGTCAATGGAGACTGAATCTCCAGGTTGGTCTGGAATAGGCAAGGGTCTGAGAAGACCTAGAGGGGCACGCGTAGTAGTCTTGTTCCTCTGGCAGACTTTACAACTGCGGACATATTTTATGCAGTCAGCTTTCATTCCTGGCCAAGTATACGCATGCATGAGGTTGGCTAAAGTCTTTTGCCAACCGAAATGTCCCTCCGTGTCGTGGCATTCCCCTAAGATTAAACTGCGGATCTCCTCACCGTTAGGAAAGCACAGGCGGACTACTACATTAGTCTTCTCAAACAACAGTCCCTATGTAGTGCGGTAGTCTGGTTCGGTCTCTGGGGCCTCCTTAACTCTCTTTCAGAATGGCGGCGGCACGCTCCTCCTGGGCCTGAGTATATGGGGTAGTACTCTTCCCACTACGGGTGTCAACCATGGTGTTAGGTGCACAACCAGACAACGGTTCCACTCCTCACCACTTAGACTCTACCCCCTGACTGACACGACCTATTGACTCAATTTAATGACCACAAATCCGGACAGGATCCTGTCAACTAGGGTCTCTAGCCTGGACCTACTCTAAGGCTATCACTACAGGACTTGTTGCTGATCAGGAGGCATTTAAGGAGATCCCCCGTAACTCCTCAGGAATTCTTTAATGTCACAGACAGGACGACGCGATCAGCAGGTCCTCTCAAGACTTAGACGGCCTGTTGTGCAGCCCACAGCTCGGATTTTGGGCCTACCGTGCCACACCGAGCAGCCTGCCGGTCAGTACCGGTCCTTGGGAGGGTTCGTGTCCTCCGGGACAGTCGAGTCGTCAGACACAGCCTTTAGCCCTACTCAGCCCGTGTGGGTTTGGTCAACAAGGCCCTATCCTTCATCCACAGAGTCCTATCACCTGGACAGAACAGACTCGATGCAAAAAGAAGAGACAGACAGACTTGACTCAACAAGTACCACAGGGCGTGTGCACATCCATAGGGCGAGGGGATAGGCTGAAGGCTTGGCGAGATTATACCGGCTCCAGCTTGGTCAAAATTGTGGTCAACAGTCTTGGTCAATGCCTTGGTCAACGCTACAGACAACCTCCGGTCAACTCTTCTGGTCAGCTATGGCTGCCGCCTTCTCCTTCCTCACCACCCTTCTCCTTCCTTTCTCCTTCCTCGCCTCTTTCT